GCTCGCTGGCGCGCGGGCACGGGCGGAGTGCCTGGCCATGGAAATGGGCCTCAACGAGCCTCTGCTGCACCTACCGCCCACATCCGGCAGGTGAGGGGCGGCTGTGTTTACGGACCCACCGCCACCCCTTAGTGCATTTTAAACGGGGCCCGAGAAGAGTGACGGATGGCGTGCCCTGTCGCAGGGGGAGCTCCACCACCAGCCTGATTCGTCGATGTGTGTGCCTGCCTGCTGATTTTTTTTTTTGACACGCTGGCGTCTCTCACAGCCAGGTGGCTGAGGAGTTTGCGAAATAAGTGCTGGGAGCGTCTCGGGGATGTGCTAGTGCGAATCGCAAATGCAATCGCCTCCGTTGGGCGCTGCGGAACACCAAACGAAGAGCCAAAAGACCCCCCACTATCCAACCCAGCGTGAGCGCCTCGTCGGGGTGTCAAGAGACTCCAAAAACGGCCCCGTGGTCGCGTGCAGAAGAAACGATGCTGGTGCAACGTCGCAAAGGTACATTGCGTCACTCCGGTTGGCTGCGCCGTGTCCTAGCGAGGTCGGTGGCGCCCGCCGCCCCCATCGTAGAGGAGCCCCGCCCCTTCAACAGGCTGTCCCCCAGGCAGCCCCAGCGGACCGGACATTGCTGCGCCAGGCCGCTATAACGCATATATGCCGGGCGATCGCCGGCTCACGAGCGGGCGCCAAACCAAAGTGGTGCCAGCGGGGCGCTGGCTCTGCGGGAGGGGATCGGGCGCTTTCGGCCCTGCGCAATGGGCGGGCGGCGGCGCACACGAAACGCCGTTTTATGACGACCGATGGGGAACAATTTTGAGTTTGTATGGCGGCGCAGCGTGGTGCAAGCCGGGCCCCGATGCTGCAAGAGGTTTCGGAAGCGCCCGCGGCACCGCGTTGCAAATCCCAGGCGCCCACGGCAACTCCCCGGAGGTTTTTGCGCGAGCGTGTCGTCCAGCGCGCCCTCGCCCCTAGCCACCGACTGGCGGCCGGCGCTATCGAATGCAAACGGGTACACGAGGCCAGCTGCGTAGATGAACGCGCGCTCTGGCAGTGTGGTGGCTGGTGCGGGCCGGGGTTGGCGTTAGAGAACCCCGCCACCGCGGGCCAGCCCAGTGTTGAGGGAAGGCGAAGCGGGCATTTGCGGCGGTCGAAGTGGCACTGCGAAGCCCATCCCGACCGCGCCAAAACCGAGAGGGATTCTCACTTTCCTCGTCGCCGCCGACCCAGGGCGCCCCACAAAAGGCCTAGCTGCGCGCGAATGCTGCAAGCACTACTGGAGAGACCCGCCGACCCCCCAGAGCATGTAGGCAACGTTTGGCGTTTCAGATGGCCGATCCAAAAACCAGCACAGAGCTCCCCCACCGCGGTGGGGCCCGATGGAGGGGGGCGGCTTGCCCAGGGTGCCGAAGGCAGAGCGCGCCGCAGTGGCTCCCGCGGAGGCCATAGGGCACAAACCCAGCTAAAACCGCAGCGCCGCAGGAAGATCAACATTTCCCTCGCCGACGCTGAAAAGCAGAAAACATGAAAGAGCGCCTCGGTGCAACCCGTGCGGAAAGACATATGTTTCGCGGAGCGCGCTCCGAAAACATCTGGCCACAGCGCTGGGCCCCATGCTGCCCCAAAGCCTCCCCCCGCCAAGGGCGCCAGCCCCCACCCAAGCACGGCGCGAATTCCGCCCGGGATTGCATGCCCACGCCTAACCGCAACACCCTGAAAAACGAAGCGATGGCAGCCGCAAAAAGGGTGCAGAGGAATCCACGCCAGATGTTTCTTTGTCAGGCGGACGCGGCGCCCGCCCTGCCCCCCCGCCACCGCCGCCGGGTGGGCGCCCGGCGTCCCTGCTGGAAGGTTTCGCGGCAAGGGCGACTCCAGGCGGAAAATAGCGCCGAGGTTTCGCGGCAGCCCCAGTGAGGAGGCACCGGGGCACGTCGTGTTCTGTGCGGCCTGGCGGCGCAAATTCGGCTTGGGGACATTGGAGGCGCCTGGTCTTTACTTTGGTCAGCCACAGGTTTGGTTTCTTTGTAGCGTGCTCAGTCGCCCAAAACCCTGGTTTGCCCACAGCCTGCTACGATGTGGGCAGCGGCGCCAGCCCGTCGGAGGTGGGAGCGCCGTGGGTTTGCTGCTTTAATAGTTTGTATTGTCTTTTTCCACTCTCTCGTTTTCAGCACAACGTGCTCCAAAAATTTCAAATCGCACTTTCTCCACCTTCTCTACTGTTCTAAGGGGATGTGGTTCTGGTAAAAGCACTCGGATTCAACTTCCGTTTTTTCTTACGGGGATGATGGTGGTATTACTGAACCCCGGGAAGGGTGATGAAACTGCACGTGCGGCGGTAGAATGGCGTCATTTAGAAAACAAAAGAAAAATTATTGCTTGTACCGAGGCGGTGCATCTTGTTTATCAGTACGGCCGAAAGAAGCGGATGATACTCCGTGTGTTTCAAGGGGACTTTTTCCTTCTCGTATTGAGATGGTAAAGACAAGAGCTGAACCGTAAAACATAAACATTGTGGTTGGTGATCCAAATTTAACTGATTGGAGTCGTTCTTCACTCTGTGGGATTTTGGCACAAACCCCAGGTGCGACGGGAATGCTTCACGAGTTTACGCCCTTGCTTGAGAAGGCAAAACAACACAGTGCGATTCGTTCTTGTGCTTTTAAAAAGGCGCTGGCGGCGGGCTGCTCCCCAACGCTGCGCGGCAATTCTTGCTCCGCCGTTCGCGAAAACGCGAAGGCGGCACGGGTACAGCTCCCCGGAACAACGGTGGGCGCGCCCGCGAACGCGAAGCGGCCTCGGTTAAATTTGGGAAATGATTGGTCGCTCATCCTTCCCTTTGCTGGGCGGGGCGGGGCGGGCGAGGGTCAGCAAAATGGGGCGCCCCAGCGGAGCCGAGGGAGCGGCGGCCCAAGGCCCGGTACCCCACGCCAGAAGCAGCGAGCCTTCTTTCTCCACATTTTTTTTTTCCATCCGCCTGTTGAGTGCGGAAGCGGCGCCATCTTCGTTCCCGGGCTGGCGGCGATCGAAATGGTTCAAACCATAGAGGGGAGGAGTGTTTTCTCTGTTTTTGCTTTTTGGGGAGGCGGTTTGCGCGCGGGCAGAAAAAAAAAATCTTAGCCCGCGCCGCCTTTTTTGCGCACCGCCGCCCGCCTCCCAGGCTCGCTTTTGCAGACGGTTCGCTCCGCCAGAGCGTTCCAAAACCCAAGCGCCCGCCCAGGACAAGCGGCGAAAGTAACTGCCCCGCATTTCGTGGCGCATCCGCACGAACCGAAACGAACACCGCCCGCGACTGGGGGCCGGTTTGCGGGGCAAGCGGTGCCGCGTGGAAGGGCGGGGCATGGCAGGAATGCAGCAGCATATTCCCCTCTGCAAGAGCGGAAGCGGCGGCCTCACTCTGCGGTTACCGCGCCACCCAGTGAGCCCCACACAGAAGAAGGAATATTTTAATGCTGCACGTCACTCACGCATTGCCGCCGTCTGCTGCTTCTCCCCACCCTCGCCTCTCCCCGCTACGCATGCCACCGCTCCCACC